AGTCACATTCTGAAGGCTTCTCCCTCTGCTTCCCTTCTGCCTATTCTCCACCCAGGAGCCAGAGTGGTCTTTTGAAAACCTAGGATGGTTCGGCCGGGCGCGGTGGCTCATGCCTGTAATCCCAGCACTTTGGGAGGCTGAGGCGGGCGAATCACGAGGTCAGGAGATCGAAACCATCCTGGCTAACACAGTGAAACCCTGTCTCTACTAAAAATACAAAAAATTAGCCGGGCGTGGTGGCGGGTGCCTGTAGTCCCAGCTACTCGGGAGACTGAGGCAGGAGAATGGTGTGAACCTGGGAGGCAGAGCTTGTAGTGAGCCGAGATTGTGCCACTGCACTCCAGCCTGGGCGACAGAGCGAGACTCTGTCTCAAACAAAAAAGATCAACACCAGCCTGGCCAACATGGAGAAATCCGTCTCCAATAAAAATACAAAATTAGCCGGGCGTGGTGGCACATGCCTGTAGTCCCAGCTACTCAGGAGGCTGAGGCAGGAGAATCACTTGAACCCAAGAGGCAGAGGTTGAAGTGAGCCAAGATCACGCCACTGTACTCCAGCCTGGTGACAGATCTCTAAAAAAAAAAAAAAAAAAAAAAAATTAGCCAGGCATGGTGGTGCATACCTGTAGCCCCAGCTACTTGGGAGGCTGAGGTGGGAGGATTACTTGAGCCCCAGGAGGTTGAGACTGCAGTGAGCTGTGATTGCGCCACTGCACTCCAGCCTGGGCAACAGAATAAGACCTTATCTCTACTACAAGTTCCACCGCTCTTTCCTATCCTCATTTCTTCTAGTCACATGGGCCTCTTTGCATCCTCAAATGTGCCAAGAGCACACTCACCTCAGGGCCTTTGCACCTGCTCCCCACACTGCTTGGAATATTCCTCTGACACCTCTCCACGTGGCTCCCTCCATCACCTTCTTCAGGCCCAGCTCAAAGGTCACCTTCTCATGGGGCTTTCCATGACCATCCCCCAATTACCCAATCACTTGCTATCTCCCTCCAACGCTTCATTTTTCTCTAGGGCACTTATTGACGTCTAGCATATTACATATTGACTTGCTTATTTCCTCCCTGTCTCTCTCCCTCCAGAGTCTATGTTCCATAAGGAGGGGCTTTGTCTGTTTTCCTCACTGCTGAATCCCCAGCACCCAGAACAGTTCCTGCAACATTGTAGACACGCAATAAATATTTGTTGAATGGATGAGCACATGGACATATTGCTATATCTTGTGGGTCTGTCTTGCCCACAAACCTCTAAGCTCCTTGAAGGTGGGGACTACGTTCTGCTCACCACTGTATCCTGGGGGTAGGGGGTTAAGGAGTCACACCGAGCTGGGCACATTAAAGTTGAATGAATGATTGATCAACCCCTCCAGTTTACAAAGAAGAAAGACATAGAAGCCAGAAGAAGAAGGAAACTTGGTTTGACATATCAAGTCCCTAGCAACCACCTCTAAACTCCCAATCCCATTTCTCCTCCTGAGATTCTGCCTTCGTGTGGCTTCTCTGGAATCATCCCTGCCCCTTGGGCAGGGCTGTCAGGAGAGTTGACCATGCCCTAACCCTGGGCAGCTCTAGTAAGCCACTAGGTTCGTTGGCCTTTAAATTAAATCCTTAATATAGCTTTGGGCTTAGGGCCCAGAACCCGAGCCTGATTCCCTAAGTATGAGTCTCAGTTCTATGGCTTGCTTCCTGAGCCTCAGTTTTGCCATCTGTAAAATGAGAACAGTGATAATAGTATCTGCCTCATCAGGTGGCCACAAGGCTTATAGGTAATGAGTGCTTACCTATGCAATTGCTTAGACTAAAGCCTAGTGAGCGCCCAGAAACTGTTGACTGCTATTAAAAGTTAAGCACTGAACCAGAGGAGAAAATATTCCGTCCCTTTCAAGCTTCCCTTAGGTGGATTCCAGCTAATTGCAGCCTGGTCGGATGTGGTTTCGGATTATAATGCCTCATTTAGGTTTCTGGGCACCTGGACGGTTGGCGTGATTTTCCCAGGTGACATTGAGCATTATCTGGAGAACAAAACTCCTTTCAAGGTGAGAAACGCCTGGACAGTCACTAGCGCAGCCAGAGAGAGGCACAATCATAGGCCTCAGTGGATTCAGCTCTCCCAGGCTTCCTGGCTGGAATTACACCCCTCAGGATCTTGCCAACCCAAAGGAGAGGCTGATTTTGGTGTAGGGCAAACAGCAACACCAAAAGAAAAACACACACACACACACACACACACACACACACACACACAAAACACCATCTCCTCTCACTCAAGGGAGCACGTTTCACTTGCTGGGGAGCAGCCACGAGGTTTTCCTCATCTCAGGGTAAAAAACTCATGCAACTTGACCCAGACATACTTGCCCAGGTTTATCTCTGCCTCTCCCCTTGCAACACACACACACACACACACACACACTGTATCCCCTTGAAGCTTCACAACAACCCTCACTCCCATTTTCCAGAGAAGTGAGGCCATCTCCCCAAACTCCGATAGATGGGAAGGGGAGGATCTGGGCTTCTCTGCCTTTTTCCATCATATCACCCTGCCCACTGACTGATCCCAACACTATCTTCCCTAGTCCAGATTAAGGGATTCATAATCTTCTTGTACAGATGGATAAACTGAGGCCCAGAGCAATGGGGCCACTTGCCCCAGGTACCGCACCAGGGATATGGTGGAGTGGTTGGTTGGCCTCCAACCCCAGAATTCCCACCATGTTTAGTGGGTGGCTGGGCTTAGTTGGCCAAGGTGAAACCCAAGGTTGTACGGCAGGGGCCTGGCAAAGCTGCCCAGGTGCCCTTGGCCTGGTTGGCAGCTCAGCTGCTTTTGACCCTGAGTGCCCTTGGGCAGGCTCACCCTTTCAGGCTTCCTTTCTGGCCATCAAGGGCGGGATTGGCTGTTCGTTAGCAAATCACCTTCCAGCCTCAACCATGCCATGAAACCACGTCTATTATTATTTAAGTAAGACTTGACTTTACACTGACTTGCTTTTTTATTAAACTACATTTGAATTTTGGCCAGGCACAGTGGCTCACGCCTGTAATCCCAGCACTTTGGGAGGCCGAGGCAGGCAGATCGCGAGGTCGGGAGATTGAGACCATCCTGGCCAACATGGTGAAACCCCATCTCTGCTGAAAATACAAAAATTAGCTGGGCATGGTGGCTTGTGCCTGTAATCCCAGCTACTCAGGAGGCTGAGGCAGGAGAATCACTTGAACCAGGGAGTTGGAGGTTGCAGTGAGCTGAGATCGTGCCACTGCACTCCAGCCTGGAGATAGAGCAAGATTCCGTCTCAAAACAAAACAAAACAAACAGAAAACCAACATTTGAATTTCCATTGGAAAAGCAGTATCTTGCCAAAAAAACCAAAAAACAAACAAAAAACCCCAAATATATGCAAAATCAAACCACATTCACAGATTCTCACTAGAGTCTTGCTATGGACTGAATATTTGTGTCCGCTCAAAATTTATATTTTAAAACCCTAACTTCCAAGGTTGATATTAGGAGGTGAGGCCCCTGGGATCTGCTTCAAGGGAACCCAAACCAAGACAGGCAGAACAGTGTACACATGACAACATGAATCCATCCTAAACCCATGTTGTTTCAGTCCAAAAGTAAGACGCAGAATGCAAAACATGAGATAATACCACCTGGCAGCCTGGCCAACATGGTGAAACCCCGTCTCTACTAAAAATACAAAAATTAGCCAGGTGTGGTGGCGGGTGCCTTTAGTCCCAGCTACTCAGGAGGCTGAGGCAGGAGAATCGCTTGAAACTGGGAGGCAGAGGTTGCAATGAGCTGGCATGGCACCACTGCATTTCAGCCTGGGTGACAGAGCAAGAATCTGTCTCCAAAAAAAAAAAAAAAAAAGAAAGAAAGATAGGCCGGGCGCGGTGGCTCACACCTGTAATCCCAGCACTTTGTGAGGCTGAGGCAGGCAGATCACGAGGTCAAGAGATTGAGACCATCCTGGCTAACACGGTGAAACCCCATCTCTACTAAAAATACAAAAAATTAGTTGAGCATGGTGGCGGGCGCCTGTAGTCCCAGCTACATGGGAAGCTGAGGCCGGAGAATGGCGTGAACCCAGGAGGCGGAGCTTGCAGTGAGCGGAGATCGCGCCACCGCACTCCAGCCTGGGCGACAGAGTGAGGCTCCGTCTCAAAAAAAAAAAAAAAGATAATACCATCTGCAGCAATGAGAAATGCATGATACAGCACTACACCAATTTTGCAAACCTAACTCCACACAAAATGACACACATTAAATGATTAAAATAAAAAAACAAGGTGGCTGCTATAAACAGCATCTGTGCTGCTTGAAACCAGCTTGACCAATATAGGGAGACCCTGTTTCCACAAAAAAAGAAAAAAAGGTTTCTAATTAGCCACATGTGACGGAATGTCTCTGCAAAAAATTAAAATAAATAAAAATTAGCTGGACATGCTGGTGTGCCCCAGTACTCCCAGCTATTTAGCAGGCTGCGGTGGGAGGATTGCTTCAGCCCAGGAGTTTGAGGTGGTGGTGAGCTATGATCATGCCACTGCACTCCAGCTTTTTTTCACTGAAAGAAAGAAAAAGAAAAGAAAGAAGAAAGAAAGAAAGGGGGGGGAGGGAGAGAGAGAGGACAGAGAGAGAGAGAGCAAGCAAGCAAGCATATGTGTCTGAATTTTTTTTTTTTGAGATGGAGTCTCGCTCTGTTGCCCAGGCTGGAGTGCAGTGGCACAATCTCGGCTCCCTGCAAGCTCCGCCTCCTGGGTTCATGCCAGTCTCCTGCCTCAGCCTCCCGAGTAGCTGGGACTACAGGCACCCACCACCACGCCCAGCTAATTTTTTGTATTTTTAGTAGAGATGGGGTTTCACTATGTTAGCCAGGATGGTCTCGATCTCCTGACCTCGTGATCCACCCACCTCGGCCTCCCAAAGTGCTGAGATTACAGGTGTGAGCCACCGCGCCCGGCCTATATGTGTGTGAATTTTTAAAAGGTGCCCCGTCTGGGTAGAAGCAGCCCTTTTGAACAGGGGAGGCTTGATGGGCTGAAAGAATGGATAAATGAATGAACAAACACATGAATAAATGAAAGTATGGACAGAATATGAGAAGATCCCTGCATGGACCAGTGAGAATGATGCACCATGCAGAAGGTGGAGGGGCAAATGTTCAAAGGTCTTTAAGGGCTAACATTTATTCTAGGACTTGGGGGTTGTACTTCTAGAATTTGTTAGGACAAAGTAACCCCCACTACCAGACCACAGTTATTAGCACCTCCCATTTGCATCTCCAGGCTCAAGGGGGGCTGATGATCTGGGGTCTGATCATAACACCAGGTCCTTGGCTAGGGAGCACCTCTGCCCGTCCGTTTCTCTCCTTGTCCCTGCAGTCTCCATCAGTAATCTTCCCTGTTGACCCCTAGGTCAGCGATACTTCCTAATGTTCAGCAGCGTGTGGGTAGCTCTGGGGCTCTCTCTGACCTGCACCTCAGCCCTCAGCCTCATCTCCCCTGCCTGGTTCCAGACCCCAACCTTCTCCTTTGGCATCCTCACCTACTGCTCCTGGCCTCAGGGCAACAGCTGGAACCAGAGCTGCGCGACCTTCAGTTCCCTGGAGGATATTCCTGACTTTGCCTGGAAGGTGAGAGCTGGTTCACCAAGTCACTGGGTCTTCAGGGGCTCGGTTAAACTCATCAGGGTAGGAAAGCTGGCTGAATGGAATTCGAGGAGGCTTTCCTCGCTGCCTGGGTGTCCCAGTGGCTACGAATTTGCCATTCTCTCCTTAGAACTGAGCACAGAGGTTCTTCAACCTGACAGCCCTTCAGAAGCACCTGTGCAACTTTGCAAAAATGCCAAGTTCTGTGCTCCACCCGGAGCCCCTGTCTCCATAGGCATGGAGTGGGGTCTGGCTACTGATAATTTAGCAAACGTGCAGGATGATTCCAAAGGCAGCTGCCAGCCAATATAGCACCTTTGTGCAAATTAGGAAAAGGTGTCCCTTCTTTAGGATGCTCTACTGCCATCTGCTGGAAAGTCACTGTAATCAGTTTGCAAATCTACGATGGCCCGCAATGCGCCTCTGAGAGTTGTGCAGTGTACAACCTGCACACTCCTACCTGGTCACCCTCTAAACATTGCTAGGTTTAAAAGTGAAAGCTAAGGTGTTAAAGTCCCTGTTATGATGCACGTTGCCAAAATCAACAATGGGGAGAATGGGAAAGGACTCCTAGTCCAGCACGTCTAAGGAAGAATATACAGTTTTCAAAATTGATCGTTGTAAGGGTGATGTAACGGCAGCTACCAGGTGCCTCTCCTGATGATCCTGACACGTAGCAAGTGCTTAATAAAGGTACTATATGCTGGTCAGTCAATGTGGATCTTAATTCTGGCTCTACCACTTAATTACCCATGTGTTCTGACGCAAATGACTTCAATTTCTTGGACTTTTATTGGACACTTTATTTTCTTGGACAGTTTCTTTCTATGTAAAATGGAAATCGTAATAGCACAGACCACATGCTGCAAGGACTCAGAAGCTGGTCAGTGAGCAGAGGGAGCATCCACCTGCCCCTGTCCCAGCCAACACCCTTCCTTCTGTCTCTTCCCTGCAGGTCTCAGCTGTGATGCTCCTCGGAGGCTGGCTCCTGCTGGCCTTCAATGCAATTTTCCTCCTGTCCTGGACTGTGGCCCCCAAAGGGCTGTGCCCAAGAAGAAACAGTGTTCCAATGCCGGGGGTGCAGGCAGTAGCAGGTAAATCCAATGCACAGGCACATAGTCAGTGCTCTAGACATATTTATGGAATGAATGAATGAATGAATGAATGAATGAATGAGTCTGTGAGCAGAGCCTGGCCTCTTGGGTCAGATCTCAGAGATAAACCCTAAGATTGTTGACTATTCCTGGTCCTTTGGCAAGCCAGAAATCAGGGGGAGGGAGAGATGGCATCCTTAGTGTCACCCATTCCTGCTGTTAGCTGACCCAGTCTTAATAATCTGTCCCCCTTTGTTTCTCTCTCATCCATCCACTTCATGTCATCCTTACCAGGGCCACCATACACAGTTGGGGATGTTGTGCACTGTGCAAGCATGCCCAACTGAGAACTAAGGAGATGCTGAAATCTAGCCCATACTTCACTTGCTAAACTGTGAACCTGCAAGACTGCATCTCTCGAGGAGTCACTTTTCTGTAATTTATACATAGCTTTTGAATGTACTAGCCAGGTCTTCATTGCAATCCTCATTCAATGAATGCTCCACCATCTCTTGCCTGGATTATAGCAATAAGCACCTCACAGGTCTCACTGCTCTCACTCCTCCCCCTTAGTGTCTATTTGGCCACACACTGGACAAATGCATCCTGTTCAGTTGACATCAGATCGTGCCCCTCAGACTGGCTTATCCACCCTCCAATCACTTCCCATCATACTCTGATTAAAATCCGAACTTCTTACCGTAGCCTATGAGGCTCCACCTAACCCAGTCCCCAGTCTCTCACCAACCTCATCTCTTCCTTCCTCCGCCAGGCTCAGTGTGCTCTGGCTATTCTGATTTGCAATCTGTTGCTCATATATACCATGCTTGCTCCCTCCGCTGGACTCCTCTTTCCCCAGATTTTTACAGGTCTTGCTACTCACTTCATTACGGGCTCTGGTCAGATATCACTGCCTCCATGAGGTCTTCCATGACTTCTAGCTAAGGGAGCTTCCCTCTCCTTAGATTCTCCATCTCCTTACTTTGCTTTATACTTTTCATAGCATATACTTACCTGAAATACAGAATCTGCCTACTTGATTATTGTCCCTCTTTCTCCAAAGAACATCAGTTCCATGAGGACAAGGACATGTCTGTCTGCCTTGTTATCACCAGCCCCTAGCACAGTGCTTCATACATAATAGGTGCCCAATAAACATTTGCTGAGTCAATTGATGGAGACATGATCCTTGTCCTAGGCTTGCTTGCAGTGTCTAGTTGATTGGGGTTGCAGGGCATCAGTCAATGGATATTTCACATGATGGGGATGAGCAACGGATGCTAGAAAAAACTCCAGGAAGCACCTGACACAGTGTATGGATGGGCCCAGTGTATGGATGGGTTAAGGCAAGCTTCTTGGAGGAGGTCCCACCTGAGCCAAGTCTGGAAGGATGAGTAGAAGTTAGCCAAGAGTACAAACAAGGGCATTTCTGGTAATGGGAACACGAAGAACAAAGGCATGGAGACAAGGGAGCAAGGCATGTTTAGGGAACTGAAAGTAGACAAGTGTGGCTGGAGAGCAGCAAGGGAGGCCAGGGATCTTCTGATTTCTGTTATGAGTGCCTTGGAAGCAAGAAGGTGTTCAGTAATTTCATTAGTATCATTAATGTCCACTGCAACACCTCCAACAGTTTTGATGAATGAACACGTGGTTGGATGGGTAAGCTGGTGAATGGATGAATGAGTGTGTTGACAAGTGGATGGATGAACTGATGGACGGATAGATGTATACATTAGTGGGTGGGTGGATGGATGGATGGATGGATGGATGGATGGACTGGTGGATGGATGGATTGGTGGATGGATGAATGGACGGATGGAAGGATAGGAAAAATGGATAGAATGGAATATAGTTGGATGGATGTAGGATGAAGGATGGGTGGATGGGTGGATGGATGGATGGGTGGGAGGCAGGTGGCTAAGCAGGCAGATGGACAGATGAATGGATGAGTGAATAAATAGGTGGATAGAGGGATGGAGAGAATAAGTGGAGTTGAACATGGTTGAGTGGATGGATGAGCAGATGGACAGAAGGGTGGGAGTGTAGTTGAGAGAGTGGGTAGATAAAAGGAGAGATGAGCCAATAAATAAGTGAATAGATGGATGGGTGGGCTAGGGAATTGCATAAATGAGTGGGTTGATAAGTGGATGGATGAATGATGAATGAATGGGAGGATATCTTAGTGGATAAGGAAAATGGGCAGACTGGATGGATGAATGGAAGATGAGGGTGGATGATGAGTGGGCAGATGGATGGGTGGGAGGCAGGTGGTTAAGTAGGAATATGGATAGAAGGATGGATGTGTGAATGGATATGTAGATAGAAGGACAGAGAAAATAAGTGGGTAAGAGTATGTTTGAATGGATGGGTTACTGAATGGACAGACAGTTGGAAGCATGGTTGAATGAGTGGGTGGATAAAAGGAGAGATGAGCTAATAAATAAGCAAATGAATGAATGGGTGGGTGGATAGATGGATGGGTGGATATAGGGTGGATGAGCTGTGGGATGGAAAGTTATTGAGGTGCCCCTTGGCCAACACACTGGCTTTCCTTCCTGCTATCTCCAGCTACTGCCATGATTATGGGTCTGCTGGTTTTCCCAATCGGTCTTGCCTCCCCATTCGTCAAGGAAGTCTGTGAAGCCTCCTCCATGTATCATGGTGGGAAGTGCCGTCTGGGTTGGGGTTACACGACCGCTATCCTCAATGCAGTCCTGGCCAGCCTCCTGCCCATCATCAGCTGGCCCCACAGGACCAAGGTCCAAGGGAGGACCATCATCTTCTCCAGGGCCACCGAGAGAATCATCCTTGTGCCAGAAATGAACAAATAAAAATCTCCTGGGAGAGGCACAAAGAACACACTCCAGAGTTTTATGAAATCATCATGTGGCCAATTTCAAATCCCACCTCTGCTCCTTCTTGCTGTGTGACTTCAGGCAAGCCACTTTACCTCTCTGGAACGGTTGTTTCTTCTGGAAAATGAAAGTTGAAATCATATCTACTTCATAAGGTTATTCTGAGAATTCACTGGAGATACTCTATGTAAATAAAGCACTTTGCACCATGTCTGGCACATAGTGTTTCATAAATATTAGCTACTATTATTATAATCCTTACCTCAAGGACTGTGCTAAGAATTCAACATCTTTATGAAAACTGCCCAGGCTAATTCTGAGCTCATGGCTATCACTCAAAAACTAAATTGTTTAATTGGCATGCGCATATTCTCTGTTCCTTCTGTTTTTATAATTCTTCCTTGTTTTAGAGAATTTGAAAATTATTTATTTTCTCATCAAATATTTAGTGAGTGTCTATTAAGTACAAGATTTTGAGCCAATGGGCTGGGCGTGGTGGCTCACGCCTGTAATCCCAGCACTTTGGGAGCCTGAGGCAGGTAGATCACAAGGTCAGGAGTTCAAGACCAGTCTGGCCAATGCAGTGAAACCCCATCTCTACTAAAAATACAAATATTAGCTGGGTGTGGTGGTGCATGCCTGTAATCCCAGCTACTCAGGAGGCTCAGGCAGGAGAATTGCTTGAACCTGGGAGGCGGAGGTTGCAGTGAGCTGAGATCATACCACTGCTTTCCAACCTGGACGACACAGCGAGACTCCATCCCAAAAAAAAAATTTTTTTTTCAAGCCAATGTTGGGTTGGGGAGAAGGAGTTAAGGACCTGACTCACCCCTTATGCAAATAATCCCATTGATGTGGAAACTACACTGTTACTTGGGGCCCTTTAGAATCTATTTCCAACCTCTCTCTTCAGGCTCTTTCTTGTCACCCACTCAACACCTGTGCCTCTCCTTCTGTCCACAGTGAACTTCTAAAGCCCACAGAAGTCCTCTTCCTGTGGCAGGCCAGGTCTCACCAAATACAGGCCTCCATAACAACTATTTCAGTACTGAGTGAGTGGTTAAGTTTAATATTAAAAGCCAGTCCCCCAATACAAAGGCTGGAATAGAACAAAAGCCTACCAAGAATTTTGCCTAGACCTTTCCTGGGCCTCAAAGCATGACAAAATAACGAAGGAATTCTTAACAGGACCCATTTTAGGATTAAACAAGTTTTACTGGGGGTCTGAAGAAACTCCCCAGGCCTCCACAAACAAGTTTATTGGAGGTCTGAAGGAACTCCCCCAAATCCCCGTGATTTAGCAGGAGACAAGATAAGGGTAATCGCCCCATTACTTGGACCCATTTAGATTAAGTAAATTTACTAAGGCTCCAGAGAAAGGTCTTCAAGACTCAGACCTGAGTTATAGATTAAAAGAAATTAATCACTTTATTTATTTATTTATTTATTTATTTATTTATTTTTGAGATGGAGTTTTGCTCTTGTTGCCCAGGCTGGAGTCCAATGGCATGATCTCAGCTCACTGCAACCTCTGTCTCCTGGGTTCAAGCGATTCTCCTCCCTCAACCTCCTGATTAGCTGAGATTGCAGGCATGCGCCACTGCAGCCAGCTAACTTTTTTGTATTTTTAGTAGAGATGGGGTTTCACCATGTTGGCCAGGCTGGTCTTGAGCTTCTGACCTCAGGTGATCTGCTCACCACAGGCTCCCAAAATGCTGGGATTACAGGCATGAGCCACTGCGCCCGGCCCACTTATGTCTTTAGATGAATGCACGCTTACACGTAGACATATAACTTAGAAGGTGTATAAGCTCTAGAAAACTTTGTAATTTTGAGTTGGTCTGGCAATAATTTCCAGGCCTTCTCCCTGTAACGGTTACAGAAGTAGAAACTCTCTTTCTCCCCAGTTCATCTGCATCTCATTATTGGGCCATGAGAAATAGCAGCCTGACCCTCAGTTTGGTCCGGGAACATTCCCACCTCTACAGCTTGGCACGTGCTGCTTTCTCTGCCGGGACTCAATCTGTTGATTTCTCCTGTGTTGACGCATTGCTCTTCTTTGGGAGCAGTACCCTAATCTTCCTATAAAAAATGACCCACAGTTGGCAAGGCAGCGTGGCTCATGCCTGTAATCCCAGCACTTTGGGAGGCCAAGGCTGGTGGATCACGAGGTCAGGAGATCGAGACCATTCTGACCAACATGGTGAAACCCTGTCTCTACTAAAAATACAAAAATTAGCTGGGCATGGTGGCGTACACCTGTAGTCGCAGCTACTTGGGAGGCTGAGGCAGGAGAATCACTTGAACCTTGGAGGCAGAGGTTGTAGTGAGCCGAGATCGTGCCACTGTACTCCAGCCTGGCGACAGAGTGAGCCACTGTCTCAAAAAACAAAACAAAACAAAACAAAACAAAACAAAAAAAACACCCACAGCCAGTCTGTGGCCACCTTGGGCTTTAAGATGGATGAATGAGCCCTTCTGGCAAATCAAGCCTGGTCAGAATGATTGATTCAGAGTTGGGCATGGGCTCTGTGGAAGCCAGCACGGAGGAGAACAGAAGCACGAGATGGAGAGAGGTGGAACTCTAAGAACTTCATGTGAACATCTGGACCCAGCCATACCTGACTCCTATCTGCAGGAGACAAGGTCATAGGCAGCTCTAGGCTGGCATCCCCTAGCACAGTTGCTCCAGAGGAAACAGTGAACTTCTCTTTCCTCTCTTGGTATATATAAATCCCAGGGAAGGAGTCTGATCGGCCTGCAGTGGGTCATGTGCTTACCCCTGGGCAGAGAGGGCCATGTCGGGAGTCTCATTAAAAGGTCACTGTTACAGTTCCCCAAAGTTGAGGGGGTGCTGGTACCAGAAGGAGGGAAGGATGCTGAGCAGGCAGAAACACTCAATGGTCAGTTCTCTCTTTAAGGGAGTCTTTCTTATCCCAGTTTCACAGAAGTGAAAATCGAGGCTCAGAGAGGTGAAATTACTTGCCCAAGGCCACACAGCTGATCAGCGGCAGAGCTGGGATTTGAATCCAGGTCTGTCAGACTCTGTGGTAGATGCAAAATAACACCTGGATTTGTTCCCTCTGCTCCCCTATCCATCCAGCTCATCATAATCAAACTCTTCTGGCTTCAAACACCCACCCAAGAATATACACGAACAACCCCCAAAAGTGATTCCATTGTTCTGAAGACACATAGATCACAGAGAACGCAGCTTGTTATTTATCTTCCAGTACGAACCATAAGAACAACTTTACAGCTTTCTAAAACAGAATAGAACAATAGAAAAAAATTAATAGAAAATCCAGGAAGATACCACAAGGGGTTCAAATGGACTGAAGGACAGTGATTCATTTCAAGTGGTTCATTTCAAAAGTGCCACTTTTCAAGCACTTCAATGCAAATCAGTCTCATGTGGGAAGATTCCTTAAGCCTCGGGCAGATCCCAGTATAAGGAGGGGCAAGTGGAAGCTAGCAAGTAGAAACTCAAACTCAGTCTGCACATCACCTACTGGTGCTTGGAACGTGTTGCCTCTTCTCTGTAATAACCCCACTATGGTCCCCAAGTTTCTTAATTTTCTCTTTGAACTGTTTCAGCAATGCCAAAGGTAATGATTCTCCAGTTGGTAAAGCAAAATCAGTTAGAGAGAGACTCTGTCTTTATTTGGCAATAGAGAGAATGCTGTAATTTTCTCTTCATCAAAACAAGAGGCATCCATTGTTTGCAAGGAGCCCTGCACCTACAAAGTCTGGAAATGACTGTGCCCACAAACCTGAAAAAAGAAAGCCAGGAAGACACTGGAGGGTCATGATTTTAGTTGGTATGGTGAGAAAATCATTTTTTTTTTCTCTAGACAGAGTCTCGCTCTGTCACCAGGCTGGGGTGCAGTGGCACGATCTCCGCTCACTGCAACCTCCGCCCAAGCGATTCTCCTGCCTCAGCCTCCTGAGTAGCTGGGACTACAGATGGGCGCCACTGAGCTCAGCTAATTTTTTGTATTTTTAGTAGAGACGGGGTTTCACCATGTTAGCCAGGATGGTCTGGATCTCCTGACCTCGTGATCCGCCCGCCTTGGCCTCCCAAAGTGCTGGGATTACAGGCGTGAGCCACCGCACTCGGCTTTTATTTTTATTTTTTTTTTTTTTGGACGGAGTTTTGCTCTTGTCGCTCAGGCTGGAGTGCAGGTCTTGGCTCACTGCAACCTCCACCTCCTGGGTTCAAGTGATTCTCCTGACTCAGCTTCACAAGTAACTGGGATTACAGGCGCTTGCCACCATGCCTAGCTAATTTTTCTATTTTTAGTAGAGACAGGGTTTCACCATGTTGGCCAGGATGGTCTCAAACTCCCGACCTCAGGTGATCCACTTGCCTTGGTCTCCCAAAGTGGTGGGATTACAGGCGTGAGCCACCACAGCCAGTCAAGACAGCGAAATTCTATTCTAAGAGCATCTGATGAAAACAAAAAAAATGAGAGAGAAGAGAGAAATCTCAATCGCGTCCCATCACAGTCCCCAATTATACCCTTACCTCCCTTCCCCTGGGCTACTGAGATCTCAGGCCTTGGAGAGGACAGAGGGGAAGAAGGAATGTAAAATAAAATGGCATAACATGACTGCCAGCTGTTCTGAAATGGGAAGGCGAGGGTCTCCCAAATTCTTGGCATGAAAGGTGCTTCTCAACTGCCCCAAGTTCTCTCCTGTAAGCCAAAAGGAAATTCTAGGAGAAAAGGAAATGGCAGATGGTTTAAGAAGAAATTGGAGCATCCAGAAAGGCCTTCACACTGCAGTCTTGCTCTGTATAAGACCAACATCATTCAGGTAGAAAATGTGAGCACAGACACTATCCAAGTGCTCTTTGCTATAAGGAGAGGAGGCAAAAGAAGGGAAGAGAGAAGGGGGAGGAGGAGAGAAATATGATGAAGGGGAAGGAAAAGAGAAAGAGGTGGAGGAAAGGGGGATGAAGAGGAGAAGAGCAG